TGACTACAAGACTGTGCTGTCCATGTTAGGTGTTCAGTCTAGTCAGACTTTTATAGTGGGCTCTTGGTGTCTACTGGGGTTCGGTTCTAGGACCCCCCCCCCATAGATACCAAAATCTATGGATGCTCAAGGCCCATTAAATACAGTGGCATAATGAAATGGTGTCCCTTACATAAAATGGCAAAATCAAGGTTTGCTTTTGGAATTTATATTATTTTTGGATATTTTCAAACTTTGGATAGTTGAATCCATGGATAAAAAAATCTGTGTCTACAGAGGGCCAACTATATTGCTAATGGTCAAAGGCCTTTGCAGAAATTCTAACATGCTCAAACGTATTTGTTAGCAAATAAGATAAATATCTTAGCCTTCCTTGTGCATCATTTATCAAATTCTGAATGCAAACATCACCTGCTAGTTCAAGGTGCTGGTCCTCGTTGTAAAAGAGGGGCATTATAGAGGGGAAAGGAGAACAGAACTCATCAACCAACTTCCACAAATCTTTTTGCCACTTTGTTAGGAGTAAGTGCCTCTTGCAAGGCAGGATAATCATCAACACACAAAATCCTGTGACAGATGCAGAGGAGGGAAGGGTAAAGAGGGGTTTCTCTGTGTGGTGTTGGCCTTGGGAGCAACAGAAGCAACATAAGAGACTTGAACTCATTTTTCTGCACCCAGGCATTTAAAGAAATCAGCCCTGTTCTGTCTCAGGTCCCAAGGTGACGTGGGTGCCCACAAGGGGAGATGGGAGTGGAGGTGGAGGCAAGGAAGTTCCTCCAATAAATCATTACTCCCACATCTTTTGTTGAAAACATATAAAGTATCTATTCCTTGTAGAAGTTGGAATATGATGCAAAATGTGGGATATTGAAGACTGCATAAAAAGAATGAGGAAAAGGAAGAGTTGCCTATGAATACAGGAGAAGCAGCTATGGAGAATGAAAACATCATTTTGACCCAAAGAAGACCCTTATCGGTGTATTCAGCTGACACTGGCCATACTGTGTTAAGCTTGCCTACGTAGCAGTGATGTTTAGAAATGTGATCCTTTGCTTTCAAGAATGGGATTCGAAGGAACTGGATAGATGCCCTGGAGACTTTACTAGAAGCCATACTCTGTGCTTTGAGACCAGTGCCAACTGACACTTTTGGTATGGTAAGGGCCTCAATGTACTTACATCTAGTCCAAATTGAAGGGCATTGCCAGTCTTTTGCTATAAGGAATCAGATTAAGTGGTTGTTTGGGGTTCGTTGTAATCATTCAGACAGGGGTGTTTTCAGTTACTACAACGGTGGGGAGAAGGCTGTTCCTCTCAGGTAAGTCTTGCCTCTCCATTATACCCACTCCCCACCACTCTTCCAGGGGTTCATTTTTAAGTTTGATTTCCATTCTGCTTTGATTTTTCTATGGTTTTTCCTTCCTTCATATTTCTCTTTTCTTTTTCCCCTGTTCTTTTCTTTTTTGTGTACCTGCTTTATTTCCGCCTTCCTTACACTGTGGTGGTGTGATTTCCCTCGGCTTGTGTGACGGCTCTGTACCTGCTCTCTTGTACATTTGGTGTCCTGCTGGGTGTGCTTTTTGTTTCTTACCTTTCCTTTCCTCTATACATGTCCTTCCCCCACCCATTGATGTCTGTGGGTTCTTATATTCCTCCTTCCTTTGGAATATGTGTGTGATTTCCCTTCCTCTCCCTTTTACATTCCCCTGTGCTTATATTTCCCTTTCTTTCAATTCCTTGATCTCTTCTTGTTGAGGGATGGGGATATTATTATCCTGGGTCTCAATTTTCCTTGCTTTTGTGCCATTTTGCATCACCACACCTCTCCTCTGTTCCTGCTGCTTCTTCTCACTGTTGTCTCCCTTCCTATTGCATCCCCTTCTCCCCTTCTTGTTGATTTTCTGTTCCTCCTCATATGCCATGTGCCCCATCCATGTGTCTCCCTCCATGCTCCCCTGTTTCTGCACCCCCTTCCCATTTCCCTGTCATCATTCATCCCTCTCCCCCCTGGCCTGTCTGTCCATTTGTCCATCCATGGGCTTCCCTCCCCTTCCTTCCCCCCAGGCCCCACAGTGAAGAGTGTGCGTCCTAGCACCTCCCGCAGCGTTCACGCCTTCCTGCATCACTACGCAGGCACCTTCCGCAGGCCCCGCTTGGCCGTCAGCCGCAGCTTGAGCACTCACCTCAACCGCACCGCCCGACTAGGTGATTATCGCATCTCTCACTGCGTGCTGCCTTTTAAAGGGCTACCTTTTGTGGGTAGACTGGCCTTGCCAATCTCGGCTGGCTGATGGAGAGACTTCTGGGACAGGGGAGTCCCAGCTCACTTGTTGGCACCCTTGGACCTTCCCTCACCAAGCAAGGTAGCAGCAGAGCTATGAGTCCCTTGAGCAAGGAGTCTGGGCAGCTCTGAGTCTTGGATTCCCTTTCCTGGCTCCAAGAGGACTTTGGCCAGGGTGCTGGATTTGGGTAAGGATATTGAAGTCCAGGCATTCCAGGGCTGACTCCCAGTGAGCTTTGCTTCAGGAGTGACCTCCGGACCAACATGAATCTGAAGCCCTGTGTCTTCCTTTTATGTCAGTTGCACTTCTGAACTGGCTTAGATAGGTGTTTTGCTTCCATGCAGAGTTTGGAAAAATTCCTTTTTAAAATGACATTTGCCAGAATTCCTCCATCCAACATAGTCACTGGGGACCCTAAGAGCTGTAGTCTTAAAAGAACATGAAATAAAATAAAATGTGCTTGGTGTGTAGAAGGTCCCAGGCTCGCTCCTTGGTAATTCTGGGCAGTGCTCTTTCTCCAGACCCTTTGTCAGCTATGCCTGTCAGTGCAGACAGTACTATGCAGTGGTAATGGTCCAATATGTTGGACTGCATATAATTTGCTTCCCTGTCCTTCTTGATTCTCTCAAGTGACATTGTCATGAAATCAATATACAATAGTCCCTTGGTATCCACTGGGATTTGGTTCCAGGACCCACTGTGGATAGCAAACTCAATATATGCTCAAGTCCTGTTAAAACAATAGTCTAGCAAAATGATGTCCCTTATATAAAATGGCAAAAATCAAGGCTTGGTTATTGGAATTTATATATATAAAAATATTTTCACACCTTGGAATGTTGAATCTGTGGGTAAAAAATCCATAGGTATAGAGGACTGACTATACCTCTAACTGTCTTAAAAAAGACAAAACATTGAAACTGTTTGGACACAGCTTTTAAGGTCCATTGTGCTTCTTAAAAATGTCCTAGAAAATAAACAAGAGCCAATGCTTAGGGATGAGCAAATAGAGACTGCAGATGCTGCAGATGCAGGATAACAGTGCTATGACAGGGTAGTGTAAATTTGTTGGGGAATTAAAGTCTTTCACAGAGCTGATGTTATCTGAAATGCTTATTTCTTTTGGAGATGGGGGAGAATAATAATGATCTTACTAGTGTTGCTACCTTTTAAAAATTAATGTGAAGAGTGAGAACATCACTTTTTAAAAGTGTAACAAAATCTACTTATCAGATGCTGTGGGGGAAGGATTATTTACCTTTTCCTTGCTTTTGGGGAGCTATTGCTAAACATGTTTTTTGGACTATAATTTTAAGGGATTTTTGTATTTAATGTATTTTTAAAAGCATAAAAGTAATCAAATTTAACATATTATTAATATAGGATCCAATGTTTTATAGTGGTCTAGGAATACCAGGGTCTAAATCCCTGCTTAGTCATGGAAGTCTGCTGGGTTAGCCAAGATAAATCATACTGTCTCAGTTGCAGAAGAGGGCAGAGGCCAATCTCCACTGAACAAATCTTGCTAAGAAAGCTGTAGGATGGGGTGGCATAGATCAGTATTGATGAAGGACCATAACAATAACAACATAACAAATGACTTACCAGCATGTTATTCTTGAAATAATGAGCAGTGTTTAAAAGGGTACTTTGGGGGGGGGGGGCGGAAATTCCAAAGCCTGTAAAAAAAAAAAAGTTGTTCCAAGTTCTGATCTCATTGGAAGATGACACATGTCCCCATCCGTAGCCTGGAATATTGGGCATGGATCTAGACAGAGAGTCTACATTAGCTAAGAATTAGTGAACAATACTCTGGCTCTGAAAACAGAAAACCCCGTGGTTAGTTAGCCCTGTGGGGTTGTTCTTATTTAGATCCTTGATGGACATTTTGTGTGAAAATGTGCTACTGAAAATGATAATAAGCAACACAAATAATTGTGTAAAGTTATTGGCATTGGGAGAGTTGATGTGGTGGTTTGAGTGTTGGACTAGGATACAGGGAGACCTTGGGAAATCACACTCTGAGCCCCAAAAGGAAGGCAAAGGCAAACCTCTCTGACCAAATCTTGCTGAGAAAAACCAATGATAGGTAATGACATAAATTGGAAATTACTTGAAGGCACAAAACAACAGTTGGCAGTGGGTGATACATTATAGGATTGTTGGGATGGGGAGTAGGGTGATGGGATGAGAGAGGATCACCT